ACAAACATGGTGAAGGATGGCTAGAGCGAGAGAAAATTGGAAGACGTGTTGTGATCGGCTCAGGCTTAACTGATGAAGGACTGACAGTCTACGCAGTCTAGGCAGATAAAAAATAAGAATCTAAAAAATTTGGGTGAAAAACGTTGGTGATTTTGGTTTTCCAAAACTAAATATTTTTACTGAAACTTTCACAATGTTTTTTGAAAACCTAAACTGTATGGTTCTCTTTTTCAGTTAAGAAACCAACAACATTCCCTGGGCTATTTTTAAAACTAGAAGAAAAAGATGAATTTAGAAGCAGTTTTCTTTAATCTTATGTCTCCTGAGGAGAGATGAGGGTCTTTCCTGGACTCTCACATAGGCTAGGAGGAGATTTTGAAAAACACAGTGAGCAGTTATGCACCCAGCACTCCTCAGGGGCAGTGTCGTTCAGTGGCTAGGTCACTGGATCATGAGTCAGGAGAGCTGTACAGGTGGTACTGTCATACAAATAATAATAACTGACTGCCCAGAAAAACAACAAGGAGTCTGGTTGCACCTTAGTCTTTAAGGTGCCACCAGACTCCTTGTTGTTTTTGTAGATACAGACTAACACGGCTACCCCCTGATACTTGACTGCCCAGGTTACTCCAGCCAAACACCGGGCTCAAGATTTGGGCTTTTTAGAGACAACACGATAATATAAGTGTTCCTGACAGCGAAGTAATTTCTGAATAGTCATTGGCAGGCACTAAGGATATCCCCACCATCTGACAGGAAATCAAACCAGAATGAATTGATCCTGCTCTTTCTGCATTATCATCCAAACAAAGCTAATTTCCGCCCAGTGCAGGCAGGAAACGTTGGTTTTAGAAACATTCCACCTCACCCTTATTCTTCCCATCAGAATTAATCACTTGAATCTATGAGAACTGGATCTCTTTTATTTAGTCTGACATCCCATGGTGAGAAATAATATTCCTAGGTTTTAAGGCCAGAAGGGGTCATTAGAATCATCTAGACTGACCTCCTGCATAACCGAACACAGACTCTACCCAGTGACTCCTGCATCTATCCCATAACTTCTGTTTTATTTAGTGCGTTATTTTTAAAAAGATCCCATCTAGATTTAAAGATTTTCAGGGATTAAGACCATGTCTACACTCCCACTTATGTCAGAAAAACTTATGTCACTCGGGAGTGTGAAATAAATACCCCCCCCCGAGTGACATATGTTTCGCCAGCATAAGCGGTAGTGTGCACAGCGCTATGTTGGCGGGAGAGCTTCTCCGACAGACATCTCTACCGCCGCTCGTTGTGGGCGGTTTAATTATATGAACGAGACAGCTCTCTCCCATCGGCATAGAGCGGCTACACGAACTCTCTAATGTGGACATAGCCAGAGACTCCACCACCTCCTAGATTAATTCTTCCAATGGTTAATTAATATAGTTTAAAATTTGCACCGTCTTTCTTGTTTCAATTTGTCCAATTTCAGTTTTAGAATATTAGATCTCGTCTTCCTTTGTTTGATTAAAGAGCCATCTCCCATCAGAAATCTCTTCCCCCTGCAGTTACATGTATACCAGAATCAAGTCACCTCTTAAGTATTTCTGTGGTAAATTAAATAGATTGCGTTTCTTGTCTTTGGACTCCCCAGGATCTCTTAGCTAGCCTAACCTCTGAGCCCTCCTCTGGAGGCCAATGGGCTTCCTATGTTTAATCTGATTTAAAGGTCCCAAAGTAATGTAAAAGTTCCAAAGGAGAGTAGATTCTGAATACTCACAGACACACCCCCTTCAAGTTCTCCATCAACCTACAGGAAAAAAGCAAGTTACTAAAACATTAATTATTTGTTGCTGCTCTTTCTCTGGGAGCAGTGAAATAAAAATGATCTCCCGAAAGGAAATGGACTCCAATGTCTGCTGGTTGGGAAATGGGAGCCAGTGTGGTCTGGTAAAAAGGGAGCTGGGCTGGGAGACAAGAGCTCGGGGATCTGTTCTGGGCTCTGCTGCTGACTTTCCTGGTGACTTTAGGTGAGTTGATTCCCCTCTCTGTGCCTTTCTTTCTTCTCTTTGCCTTCCTTCATTTAGTCTGATTGGTCACAGCTAAATGCACCAGAATCACTTTTCAGACACTCAGAGTCAAGTGTCTTTGGAGAGCACCAGCAGCAGGGCATAATGTGAATTTTTTTCTAGACTGACGTCCTGAATGACACAGGGCAGAGAATCTCAGCCAATGATTCCTGCGTCTAGGCCACAACTTCTGTTCTATTTAGAGCATGATTTTTCTGAACATATCCCATCAAGATTTAAAGACTTTCGGTCACTAAGGCCATATCTACATTACCATTTATGTTGGCAAAACTTATGTCACTCAGGGGTGTGAAAAAAATACCCCCGTGTGTGGCTTACGTTTCGCCAGCATAAACAGTAGTGTGCACATCGCTATGTTGGTGGGAGAGCTTGGACTCCCTAGGCTCTCTCAGCTAACCTGACCTCTCAGCCCACCTCTGGAGGCCAATGGGCTTCCTATGTTTAATCTGATTTAAAGGCTAATGTAAAAGGCCCAAAAGGAGAGTAAATTCTGAATACTCACAGACACATCACCTTCATTGCTTAAATCAGCCTAGAAGAAAAAAAAACTATTACTAAAACATTAATTCCTTGTTGCTGCTCTTTCTCTGGGAGCA